CCTACATCACTTAAACTTCCATTCAGCATCCTTTATATCCCCCTTATCTATTCCTGATCTCCTGTCATACTTAGTGAGCACTTCTCCACCCATTACTGTAGTAATACGACCCTAAGTTCATCACACTGTCACACCACCTGTGAACCGTACCTATTTTGTGTGACAGTCACACACATAGCAAGGCCGGTGAACCAAAAACTGTAACAAAGTGTAATTAGGGGCTATTTCACCAAATTTTTCCCCTGCCTATGGCAGCAACAACAGTACTCTGCTGCAATGATGCTATTGGGTCTTATCATACTTATTCCCTACTTGTCGATCACTTGAGAATGTATATATGGGTGCACACCCTTCAATCAGTCGTAATCAAGGACACAAAGTAGATATAGTGACACAGTGACAGTGTTGCATTGTACCTGTGCTTTGTCATCATGCAGTGCATTGTCAGTCACATGGTTGGAGCATGTTATGGCACCGGCTTGTGTCATTGCAGCCATGTGGTTGCTGTGTGGCTGCCATCATTGCGAACAGGGTTAACTTAATGAAATAAACTTGCCCAGACCATCACACTATCGCGGCATGACTGCCAGGATGATGTCACTATTGAATAGTAAGTACTCAGTGGTTAAGGAAACCAGCTGAGCTTACCTATTGAATAGTAAGTACTGTACTAGGTAGTCAGTACTACTGTAGGTAGCTCTATAATAAAGGTACTCACCTCAGTGGTTGGGGAAACCAGCTAAGGTGTAACTACTACAGTGTACAGAAATGTACTACATGCTTATGTAAGCTAATAGCATAGTTTAAATATCCAACAGTCACATCAGATGATCCTGCGTATTGCAGTTCACATCATCGTGGCTGTGTCAGTGTGTTGTCGTGAACAGACAGTTGTAAATAAATAAGTAGAACTCACATCATTTACCATCATGCTGCCGCACCTCAGCTGGCTCATGTCATGGTTTCAGTCCAGCATAACATTTTGGTAGCAAGGACTTGGCACCCCCCGAAAGAACCTAAATTTAAGTTTGTCACAGGTCACACTGCCCTACGAACCTATGAACCTAGCATGACATGGTGTCACACCCGACCCCCCACAAACTTAGGGTCATATTACTACAGTATATATATATATATATACTCCTTTTTCCCTTCAGATTCCTCAGTTGTTCTTTGCCCTCCTTAGGCAGCAGCTGAGGTGAGTTCACTTTTCACCTATTTACTACTCCTAGCTAATTCCAAGTAGTCCAGGCAATCCCTGCCCTTCCATAGTTTTTGTCACTTGAGTGTTCTGTCACCATTGAGCACACAGTTGGCTCTGTTGTTAGATATACTGATATGGTATTATGATAAGCCTATGCAGTTACAGAAAACTGAGTGTTTTTGCCAAGAGGTACCTGGACAAATAGTTTTCAACACAAACCTGGAAAGATTGAGAGGGTGGGACCCTGGAATTGAGTAGAATACCATACCATAAAGTACCATATTCAGTACTACTCAGTGGCACCAAGTCCAAAAAAATTGTCTGACATAGGAATTGAACTCCCGACCACCAAACAAAAAGGGGACACACAACCACTCAGCCATACTTTTTGTAGTACTACCTACATAGGAAATTTAGCAGTAGGTTCAGAGAGGTTCAAACCAGGTTCAGGTGTACCTGCCCAGTCCCGAACCTGAACCTGAACCTAAAAGATAGGGGCTGAACTGAACCCAAACTGAACCCAAACTTAGGGGTTCAGTTTGGGGGTTCAGGTCCAAACCTTGGGTTCGAACTGAACTTTGGCAACCCTAGCTGTCCGGCTTTGAATTGTCCTAGTGGGGCTGTGGTGAGCTGCGAGGGCAGGTGGGAAAAACTGCCTCACAGGTTGATCTGTATGGTTCTAGGATTCTCTGAAGCCCAAATGTGAGGTGGATAGATGACTGGCAGGGAATTGAAAACTGGGAGTGGTGGGAGGGTGAAAAGAAATTAGTGAAGCTCTGCTCTCAACGATGCAGGCCACGAGCAGAGGGTGTGGTGTGAAAGGAAGAAAAGATGTGCCACCTTACCTCAGCTCGGCCTAAGACATAGTTCTGTCACTGCTTGTTCCTCACTGTGTGACAGAACATCACATAATTTTAAATGTTATCTTTGTTCCAGATTAGCACACTGGTATTTTGTTTTGCCACAAAACCACATGATAGCTACATATACTGTAGGAGCTGCATTTCAAGCCCAATGTCTGTGGTGTCATTGGCTCACAAGTGATTGGAACATAAAATACTTT